ATAGATAACATACAGGCACAAGAGCTGCCTTTAATTTGTTTGATGGAAACACGTTTAAAATTTTTCATTTACAATCCCTTTATTAACCTTTAAAAGGTACAAGTAGACAACTAACGCGTGACCATAATTATTTAATTCTAAACGTAATTAACTTACATGAAGTTACTTGTAGTTGGCGTTTTGTTTTTTTTTTTAATTTGTGTTTACTTTAATACATCGTTACAGTGTGTATGAATTTGGCCCGAAATCACACCCTCAAAAATAGATTGCGACCGAAACATCAAATATCAATTCCCTCCACAGAAATCATAATCAGCGTAACAACGACCAGACATGTCAAAAAGAAAAGAGAAAAAAAACCGACCACAAGACTGGCATGGATGCTACCAGGTATCGTTGCCCGCTGTAACCGGCGTGACAGCTCCGAAGCTCGTAGAATTTAGCGAGGATTGGGTGTCAAGTTATAATTGTCACCCGACTATTAATGGTTTCGGAGCAAACGAGACGCGCGAAATTTAATCTCGCGCGCAAAAAGTATTGAATAGAGCGGGACAAAAAGAGCGGAGTGATAAATGGACCGCCTCGGTCGTCATGCGCCCCTGGTAGCTGCGTTGTAAATTTTAAAGTCATTTTTTAAATAAAAATGAGATTTAATAAAAATAAACATCTGTTTTATTTTAATTTAAAACTGCTACATATTAAAAGGAGTTTCGGGTTTTCGAGCATGTTTCTTATTTATGTTTTACTAGCTTTTATCCGCGGCTTCACCCGCGCAGCCAAAGGGAATTAACAATGAGTTTTTATTATACACCAGAATATTTCGCAGATGGCTGAATGTTTTCCTATTTAGTTGACACTTATCATTGCCTATATTTTGGGTAATTCACACAATATCTTTATAAATTATAGTCTATGTGTTATTCTGATGTATAAAGCTATATTATTGTAAATTTTTGTTAAAATCTATTCAGTAGTTTTTGTGTGAAAGAGTAAGAAACATCCATCCATACATACAAACTTTCGTCTTTATAATAGTAGTAAGGAAGTAAGGATTTATACATATATTCTCACATATTTATATTTTCATGTATATTTCTATATATTGTATATAGATACCGTAATTTTTACATCGTGAAAAAATCACTACATCGATTATGTCCGTTGTACGCCGACAAGCTTCGCCACCTGTCACCTTTCGGGACTTACTAAGCGAGGTAAAAAGTATTGTTGTGCAAGTCTGTAATACACAACTAATTATTTAAAAAAGCCGCTGCGGGAGATTTGAGATACTGATCATATTACAACACTTCATCATCATATTACTACACCCTAAGCCCTTAGAATTTTTCATTAGCATTTAACCAAGTAGAAATCTCTTTCCCAAAGGGTAACTAACCCTAAACAGCAATTTCCTGAATAAAAACTGTAAGGCGGGGCATAATCCATCATCAGTCCATCGCCATTGCATTATACTATAATTACGTATACCACAACATCAAGTTTTGACTGTACGATTTGGTGTATCAAAGGATAATAACATTTGTGTCTGGTAGTTATAAGTCATTTTCCGTGAACTGCATGTGGTCGTGAAGGAACTTTGTGGAGTTTAGTACTCCAAACAAGGGTTAGAGAGCTGCCTCACCGCAATTTTGATTCCTTGAACACGTGTCCATTGTTTGCTGCAAGTTTAGGGAACAAATTATAGATTCACGAGCTTTCGACTATTTACTGCGTTTCCATTGTTGTGTTAATTTTATCGAAAAAAAGGTTATTTTTATTGATGTATTAAGATATTTATGAGATGCATTCCATCCAAGGCGTTGTTAAGGACATATTTTGAGGCGTTATGTTTTATGTTAATTAATATATATTTGGTTTTTAAATCTAACCGAGTTAATATAATTTTTAAGGCAATGAAAAAGTATCAATGAATTTAAATGTATCTGACACTTCTGTGAAATTAATAGTTAATTCTAAGAAGTATTTGCTTTTATTAACTATTCTATCTATTTAGTACCCGGATAGGGTAAACAATATAACTAAATGTTTTCGTAGATAACTTTTTTGTTAAGAACCGAACCTTTTGGATTATTATTTGCAGTGTGTTACTGTTATTTAATAAAATTCCATGACTATAAGAGATAATTTGTCTTATTTATGGATTGATGCCGTAACTAATATTGTTAATAACTCGCTGTCTTTAGTTCATTAGAAATGAACTTTTTTTTAATTTATGTAATTATTATTTATATTTTTAAAAAAATCGATTTACGTTTTGTTTTTTTTTGGAATGATGAATGCCTAACAACAAATGCAGCTTAGAAGATCTATTTAAGTCTTCCCTTCGAAACCTGGTTTCGTGCCCAGCTTTACCAACCGGGCTAAGCAGATGGTTTGTTGTTGTTTGGTTTGCTACCAAACAATAACAAACCATGATGACAAATTTGACGATAATCCATGGCGTCATCTGTTAAAGCTAAGCAGATATGGATTGCTATCAAGCCTCCCAAGCATGCGAGAACCTTTAAAAACCTATAAAAAGCAGACCATTCTATAAAGATAAAAATAACTAAAGCCCCTCGGTAGAGAGGTTGGCGTCTTAAATGTATATTTTTGAACCTTTTCACTTGTCTTACGAATGGCTTACAAAAGTAGGATGTAAAAGTAATATTCGGCTGCCAAATGCACGGGACGCCAAACGATCAACTTCTAAAGACAAGTGGAAAGCTCTAGAGCTGCGAATTACTCCAGTATTTTTCCACTCGGCAACTAGTGGTCTCGAATCAAACCTCCGCCTGCGACTTTCCGCGGAACAATTATACCCCGTTTACGAAATACCGCTGTAGAGCGCAGATGAGATGAGATGGAAAGGAGCGGCGAGCGCCCTCAAAGAGTTTCGAGCGTTTAAAATACGGTTTTCGGCGTCGACGAAAATTTCATGGCTAGCCGACAGCCAGACACGAGAGTTTAAGGTCCAAAAAGATGAGGCCCCGCCACAAATGGCGCTTTCAGACAAGGGTCCAAGTGACGTATCGTTGTGCAGCCGAAAGGAGAGACCACTTCATAGGCCAACGCCGTCCACAATGCAAGCTCCAAGCTCTGCTTTGTGTAAAACACTTACACACTGAATATTGAATACATGCAGATTTCAGGATTCAAATTTCGGAAAATGTATTATACATGACAGCTACTTTTGATGACTGTTGACAGGCGCAGTTGCCAAGGTATCGGCTACGGCGTCGGGGGTCGTGGGTTCGATTCCCACACGGGACAGCTATTTGTTTGACCCTCAGTTTCGCATCTTGTCCACGTGAAATTTATGTTTGTAAAACGTCCTAACAGGATAATGTTAACTCAAAGGACAATGTTTAAGCAAAATTTAATAAAAACGTTGTTCAGGTAATTCAAAAGTTCACATAACAAAAAGATTTGAATCATTTTGTTCTAATCTTTTGAATTCAATTCAATTGCCATCCTTCAATTAATATAAGAAATAAATTTTGGAATAAGCCTGTTGAATTGTTTACATACGTTGATAAAATTTTGTATAAATATGAAGTTTAAAGTTAATTGAACAACCACGTGACGCGTAACATTCCAATATAATGGTTTCAACTATCATCTTTATCTTAGTTATTAAAATTTTATGTCATCCGAAACAACACGGTAGTATCGCAAAGTTTTCTATGCACCTCTATCCGAATAATAGGTATGATTGTTTTAGATAATTTTATCTGCTTTAGCGCTTACCGCTTACCTACCCGGTGCTACAAAGATGACTATTTTCTTCCAACATAAAGTCTAAATATTTGGAATTCTGCTAGACCTGTAAAACCTTGGTCATAGTCAAACCAAGCTACGTTGACGACCCCATTGGCGAAGTGGTTAGTGAACCTGTCTCTAGCGCCGGAGGATGTGGATTTGAATCCCACTACTCGAAAATATTGTGTAATGAACATAGTGTTTTAAATTGTTTATAGTGCTAACCTTTGCACTTAAGATTGAACATTAAAATATGTAGAAAAATGGTGTGGCAATCAGCCGTTTAGCTTAGTGGTTAAAGCGTCAGGCCGCGAATGCCGAAGACGAGGGTTCGATTCCCACAGCGGCGACACTCTTTTCGTACTTTTTCTATATATTTTAATGAACATAGTGTTTTTATAATGTTTGGGACTAATATTTGTAATGATATTTATACCGTCAACTTAAGATTGATCAATGTTCCAATCCAGTACAGTTATTTTATAGCATTCTAATATTCAAACATGACAATAAACAACGTTTAGTTTAACATAAGGAAACAGAAGCATCAGTTATTCTGTACGCTTGTGGTTACCAATTTGCACATTAGGCGTAGCTTTCTGCGCGCATAGCACATTCTCTTTGCCGTAGCGTTCGACGATTTTAATTACATCTCACACAAGACTCCCCGCTGACACTTCCACATCAAAGCGAATGGGAAACAAAATGATCGACACTTGCATCACGTCACGACTGTCGATTTTGAACTTTATGAGCTCTGTAATAAGAAGGAAGTGCCCAGGGTTGTGCTACCACTAAATCACACGAAAATTGCCAAGGGATTAGGGGTATTAAATTAATATCTGTCAGCTTAAGGTGCCTATTATGAGGCGTGCGACACTCAAAGTGTTCTACATTTGCGAGGAGAGCTTTGTGGGATTATCTTCTTAGTTTTTCCGTTGTGTATATCGCCTATATCACGTTATAATGAGGCGACGCGAAGATATACTTATTTACTCGCAATCTAATTCCGCTTTTACACAAATTTATAACTAAAGTGGCGTTTGTAGAGACTGCTTTAGACAATGCTATACGTTCTATTTATTTTAGTTCTTTGTACTGTACATTTTACCTTGAAAAAAGTATGAAACAGGTTACTCTAAATAACTCCTTAAAAAAAGAACAAAAAGAGGAAAGTAACACATGTATCGTGCACACATAAAAATTTACTCTGACAGACGTTTCTACTACTGCAACTATTCTTGCAACTCGTGTAGATCTTCTTCCTGAACGTTCCAAAGGCTACGGTTGGTGTTGTCGGTGACGTGGGTCTCATCGGCTGCTCGAGCCGCGTGTTCCAGCAGCGATTCCGAGTCATCATCATAGAGCGACCTCACAGACACCAGGGTGGATTCATTGCCGCTCATGGAGTCTCCAGCGTCCCCCCTTTCATGCTGGCTCCTGCCAGGTCCACGGGTCTGAAATTCATCGGAATTCGTAGGAAAATCGGTGGTACAATCTTTAGTCGACTGCCGATGAAATTACGGGACCTTTAAATACATGGATGAAATCACAGAAACAACATAGCACATTCACTGATAACAGTTCACTGTCAATATAAAAAAACGAATAATTGCTCAAATTATTCCCAGTGGTAAATTCATGCAACTTTTTTGCATGAACCCTAAGATAATATAATGCAAAGAGATCCATCATATCTTTGCAAGGCAGCAGGATCAAGCTAATCACAAAGAACTTCAACATATGAACATTACACTCACTTATTGATAGTCCAAATACTACCACCGGTTCGGAAAAGAAAAGCCACTGACCTGAGAAGAACTGGCGAAAGAAACTCAGCGGGCTACTTTTTTTTACAACATTTTGAAAATTCAAGCATCGCTCTTATCTACAGCCAAATATAATTACTTTCGTGCCACAGCCCAGAGAGTACCAGTATTCCATATGTATCCTAAACTACTAGTGATTTTATTTAAAAAAGAAACGTATGACTCGGTGGCGCTTTTGCTAAGCTAATAGTTTGGGCGTTGGGGATCGTGGGTTAGACAGGGTACAAGTTTTTATGTGAGCCAAATATAACTGTTCTGGGTCTGGGTTATTCCCAAGTAGACGACCGTTCGTAAAAAACCTAGCCAACAGCAATAACAACACGATCCATAGCCACCTTAGATGGTATAAGAGCAGGAGAAAGAAGAGGACTCACGTCTATAATGGCCATGTGAAGTATCGGAATCTCCAGTTTCAACGGCTCGATTTGTTGTGGCTCTTCGTCTAGATAAGATTGATCATAGTTAGCCTGTGCAAGGATTGAAAATCATTAGTCTGACTTACTAACAAAGAAATGCTACTTCCACTTAACAGACCTCTGATACACACAGATTATGTATGCTGACACATAAGGTTTTGTATATTTTCCCACCTCCTATCGTAAGTTCGTGCCTAATTTAAATATCCCTGAGAGAAGTAGGCTCAGACAGTGAAACAGAGGAAAGGATATATATTCCATAAAAAAGATTTTCAACTATTGCAATCTCTATCGTTTTCGTAGATATCTACTAGATACCAGAACGAACCACAGAATAGAAAATATTGGGTTACGTTTTACAACATATGAGCAGTGGACAATTTTCTTTCTCTTATTTCAACTATTAAACCTTTTCACTCACTCTTTTACTTCGCCATCTGTTTAGATACTCGTTGGTACATCGGAGCCTGTGCCTGCTTTGCTGAAGAAGGTCGTCGATACGATCTCTGGCCTTTAATTGGGTATATCTATTCAGTATCTGGAAAGGAATTAGGATTTATACAAGTCTTTGATCTACGTTATGTATAATTGATCCAAAATCGTTGATTAAGTATCTAACATGTTTCTTATTTTATATTAAAACTCGTAGTACTAATGTACTACACACAAAAAAATGCATTATAAAAATTTACTTCACAACATCATGGGAGTTATGTGACAACATCAGTCACAACATCAGAAGAATTTTCTCTCTAGCTTATTGCAAATAACAATTAATTTACAATATATAATCAACCATTAATTAAATAATCAAGGTTCAAAATCAATGTTTAAATAATCAATCATAGTCAAGGTTCTCTCATAAAGAGTACTCGATTTCGCTGTCTGTTTTTAATTCGACACATTCTAAGGGTTTGTGCAAAACTGCCATAGCAATCCGACGGTTGATCCAATCGGCTTTAAGGTCACCCTTAAAACACAAACTGTTGTTCCTACCGCCACTCTTACCACAGTTAGGACGGTGAGAAACAAAACTTCTGATATGAGGACAGGTATATTCATCGGCGTCTCATTGTCAGTCACCATTCGCTTGGCCTCTTCCCTGATCACCGTTCTCACGTAGCAGACCGCTCGGCAGCTGTACCTCAGGACGATTTGCAGCAGCCCATTTCCAAGACTGTAGTCAACCAACAAGAGACTGCAAATCAGTGTCAACGTGATTATGATGTTGATTGTTCCCAACATCTCGACATATATTTGATATTTTTTTCAAATTTACACAGCGCGAAAAATTTTACATGGTCAACGTGAAACTAAAATTTTTAGACCAAATATGGAATGTCAACCAACGTCCTTATGTCATTTAACAGAGAAGTTTATTGACTTACATGCATTTGAGACTGATTTTTTGGGCATCAAATTAACAAGAACAATTTTTTCAATAATTATTATTTACTTTCAATGCAAAATTAACTTACGTCTATTATAATCGTTAAGTTCATGAAAAGTCTTTTGACTTAAAAAAATATTTTATTTATGATGAAAGCCAAGTCTTGTAATTCCTAGAGTAAAAAATGTATATGGTAAATTACCAAATAAATTACCACGTAACACTTATCTAGAAGCAAAAAATAAAAATGAGCTGAAAAACAAATTAAGAAAACATTACCTATCCCTATGTCCGTAATTATTCAACTCTGTAGTGTCACACACAAGTACAAACACACGTACATACACGAACAAACATAAACACACACACACACACACACACACACGCAACCAAGTACATTGATATTTATTTTATTTTATTCTAACATACTATAAATTGATAAACTTATATATTATAGGTACTTATAATTAAGAAATTGTATTTAGTTGATATATACATATTATGCATAGACATATATGATATTATACATAGGTGTCATATTAGTAAGGTTGAAGTACATTGATGTAACTATTCACGAGAACTGCTGCCGACAAACTGCATCACAGTTTGGCAGAGAATAATTTATGTTATTGTAATTTATTATTGGATTAAATAAATAAATTAAAAAAATATAATTATGATATAACTTTAAATGAAACTAACTAGTTTCGAAGTTTTGCTGGTGTTACATTGCTGGTGGAAACATTGTCCAAAATTATTTTATTACACTATAAGTGAGAGGAAACAACAGACCCATTACAATCCAGAAAAAGGGAGTTCAGTACTGGGAGCCCTTTGCCCAGCAGTGGGGTGAACTAATAAAGTAACGAAAAAAAAACTAGGTCTTATGTATTATTTCTTCAAACATCAGTTTAAACCACAACCACCGAAGATTAGCTTCGATTTCTCTTTTCTTAAACTAATTTGGATATTTTATCATCAATTTGGGTCCTAAAAGTTTAGTTCTCGACTCGCTAACATTATCTTTCGTATACTCTGTGCTCCACGTTGCAATGCCAACCTGATATCCATAGCAACAGACAAATATATTGACGATGTCCTTCGCAACGGTATCTTGTTATTTTATTGATTGATAGTTTGCGAAAACACCACTGAAATTTTTAAGGTTTTAATTTTGTATTAACTTGTAAATAAAATACGCTAAGATGGTGAGTATTCTAACTATATTTGTTTTCGTAAATAATGAAAGAATATACCAATATGTTATCTATAATCAACGATGTTATAATTAAGATGAGGGCTTCAGTGGTAGGCCACGCATTAGTTTGCTGATGCACGAATGGGCAGGTCCGTCCGGGGAAGTACCACGACCTCACAGAAGACCGGCGTCAAGTATTATGCTTCTGCGTTTAGTCTGGTGAGTGAGGTAGCCGGGGCCCACTTTTACGGTTGCAAATGTCCATGGGCTGCGGTTATCACTTATCATCAGGTGACCCCCAGCTCGTTTGCCATCTTATCATATTAAAAAAAGGCATGTCCATACTGCGCAGCATTTAAAAGTTGTTCCACTTGTGACAGATGATATAGAACGTATAATACGGAAAGAGATAGCATTCTATAGAATAGCAATCTAATTATTCAATTCGCGTAATTTATGTCCCTCAGTTTCGGTGCACCAGTGTCACATTTATTTCTATATAATATATAGACATAAGTTATTTCTACATAAAACTTCTCACAGGTATATTTGTCAATTTATAATCTATGTAATGCTCAATAGTGGACTAATGTGGGCTACTGTTTCGAACATACTTCGCAGCGTTTAAAAATTGTTCCGCTTTACATTACATGAAATATATTAGTGAATGAGACTGATGGTATTTGATGGATGAGTGATGGATGGTATTCAGATCTCTAATAACGACCTAGATTTCTCCCTTGAAAGATAGCGCATGATAAAAAGAGCCCATAATTCCACAGCTAATGTTTATAAGATAAATAGCAAACAATGTTTCAAGAATGAAATATGAGATTTGACTAACTTTAACCATTATTTATTTCCATTTCAGCCTCCAAAAGGAAAAGGTGGAGCGAAGAAGGCTCCTGGTACGCAATAAAACACTTTATGAATAAATATTTAGAAAAAACAATCTTAAAACGAATCAATTATTTTACAGCTATCGTTATTGATGGAGTGGATACATCGGAGATGACTAGAGAGAAACTCGAGCAGTTCACCCTTAGGGTGAAAGCGGAATTAGACAAGGAAAGGGAAGAGCGAAACTATTTCCAATTGGAACGTGACAAGATTCGCACATTCTGGGAAATAACACGGCAGCAGTTGGAGGAGGCGAAAGCGGAACTGAGAAACAGAGAGAGGGCAACGGAAGAAGCTCGAGAGGAGAACGAGGCCCTTCTAGAGACTGAGAAGCAGAAGATTAAGCATTTGAAATACGAACAGCAGGCAGCAGCAGCCGCTCTGCGGGCGGAGAATCTGGTAGCACTGAAGGCAGCAAAAGAGGAACATGCAGAGCAAGAGTTGGAGCTATTAAACGACAAGCGGAAGATAAGGCAGGAGATGAGGGAGAAAGTGCTGGCCGCTCAGGATGAATTAAGAAGAGCGAAATTGATACACGCCGAGGAACTGTCCAAAGCCAGGGACGTTTTTCAGGAAAGAGCGCGTCAAATAGAAGATAAGGCAGAAAAGAAACTCCAAGAGACGAAAGCCGAGTTGACAGTAAAGCACAGAACGGAACTAGCGGAAGTAGAAGAGAGGAAGAATAAGCAACTGTCAGATTTGATACAGCATCACGAGCGAGCTTTTGCCGACTTGAAGAACTATTATAACGACATAACACTTAATAACTTGGGTAAGTTGACATTGCTCTTAGGTTATACACTGCTACGCAGCCCTTATAATATTTATTCTTTTTTATTTTTTTATCAACTCCTGAAGAACACATGTTTCATTAATGAAGTATTAAACTAAGAACACATGTTTTATTTATTTAGTATTTAACAGTATACAGTAGATGCCGAATTTTTAATATTTTTGACTTTCGCCCGGCGAGTTATGTAGTTAAGGCTCCACTCATGAATAATCTGAGATAATTGATGGTAAATGATTAATGCCACCCACGATAAGATCACCACTTATACCAGTATACGTTGTTTATACAGGAGGGATGTACGAGGACCTCAAAACTTATTGATTTAACCCAATGTATGTTCAGCGATTGTCATTATTAATTTTTTCGTTTCGTTGCCGATTTTTAGTGTATTTTATTTAATTGACAGTGAACTTCCCGTCATTAAAATTTATTCCAGCTGAAAAATGAATCCAGAAAGATCTACTTTTTTAAATCAGTATATGTTTCATCAATTGAACTAATAATAATTTAGTAAGCTTTACCATTTGTCAGGTCTAATTAGTAGCATCAAACAGCAAATGGAGGAGATGCAGAAGGTTAAAGAGAGAGCGGAAAAGATTGCTAAGGACGCAATAGCAGAAGCGAAGAGTCTGCGGGAGCCATTAGAGGCTGCGATATTGGATAACAAAGAGCTTAAGCGACAAATGTCAAATTACGATAGGGACAAAGCTGCTTTAGCTGTAAGTGTATTTATTTATCTATTTATAATTACATAAACGAATAAGTATTTTTAAAAAAGTTGAATCATAGCGTTCGCATTAGATTCATCATCATCATACTCATCAACATAACGTTACGTTTACGTTACCATTTATTACGTTATTTTTTTTTTGTTAAAAGTTAGCTAACGAGCAAGTCGTTCACCTGATGTTAAGAGTTTAGCACCGCCTATGGACATCTACTACACCAGACAAGTTGCAGATGCGTTGACATCATTAACTAAACGCGAAAGAATAATACTTCTACTACACCACACTACTGGTTATTTGAGAGTCTCTGGGACTTTCCCGGAAAAGCCTGCTCCTTCGCGCAACAGCCATTGCTACATGGGCCTACCATATCCTGTATTTATAAGAAACAATAAAAATGTGTTAGGAATAAGAACCCACATTTCATTAACTGTGTCTAATCCTCTTAGTCAGCGGTGGAATCGAACCGGTGACACGCGTCGCTGAGTCAACCGAACAGCTGACACGTATTTGACGGCAAAGTCACTTAACGATTAGTCTAATTGAGTCACTGATAAGTCCTATTGTCCATTCGCAGGCGAAGACCAAACAGCTGGCATCGCTGTCCAAGCAGTTCGAAGTGCTCAAATGGGAGTACGAGGTGCTTCAGGTGCGGTTCGACGGGATGCAGTCGGAACGGGACGAGCTGAGGGCCAGGTTCTCGAGGGCGGTGCTCGAGGTGCAGCAGAGGGTGTCACTGAAGGCCACGTTGCTGGAGGCGAAGCTGAAGAATATGGAGGCTAGGGACTTAGGCCCGAAGGAGATACACGTTAGTTAACGAACATTATTATTTATAGCTCGAGTCCACTGCTGGAAATAGGTCCCCCCCGGGATGGCAGTCAAGTTCAGGCCAGTTTTGAATTAAAAAAAAAAGCTCGACCCTTAGCCACCTTCAATTTTTTATCATCTTCAAAAAAGGAGGAGAGTTCTCAATCTATATACATTTGTGTGTTCGTAGATAACTTCATCGATTTTGATGTTTTTTTTAGCGTTTTAGTTTCCCCTGTCGCCGACGGCTTACAGCTGCCTGAATATTATTAGTATGTTCATTTTATTGTCACATTAATGATGGTATATTTTTTTGTATTTCGTTAATGTAATAGTTTTAGTGTATTTGGTGTCTGTGTGTATATTTACATTTACAATATTTATTACATACTGTATCTATTTAAATACAATTATACAAAAAAAAAATATGTCACTATTTTATGTTGTATACCTATATACAGTATGTATATGCCTTGATATGCCTGTCCCGGGAGCTAGACCTCCTGGTCGCCCAAGGAAGCGATGGCTGGACGTTGTGAAGCAGGATATGAGAGCCAATGGACTGACCCATGAGGATGTCGAAGATCGGGCAAAGTGGAGGAGATTAAGTAGGAAAGCAGACCCTGGCAATTGCTGAGATAAATGCTAGGTAGAAGAAGAAGACCTATATACAGTATAGCTGCGAGATGAACCTTTGTATGTAATGATTATAAAACTTAACGTTCCTCACTTGTTGTGAGCCCCGTTTTTTTGAGCTTTCCGTTTGCCTCAGTTTTGGATAAATTAAACAGTATCATGTCTTAATTTTAATAACTTATTAAGTAACATACGGATGAAACAACCCGTAATTTTATAACGGAGCTGGTGCAGCAGAGTAACTCAAATTAAAGCGCATCAACATTGGATATGGAACGAGCTGTACTCGGTATTTCTCTGAATGGTAGAGTTTGCAACGAAGATATAATATTATACAATAATAATATATCAGTAGAATAAAGGTAACCGACATTTATACGATGATTTGTAAACTGTAATGGCACTGGGACATATACAAGCTATTACTTTACTTCAGTTTTATGAGAGGTCACGTGCACTTTTATTCGCTCTAGGACTTGTTGAAGCTGAAAGACACCCAGATAGACGACCTCCATTACGAGGCGGCGCGGCTACGTAAGGCACACGACGACCTCCTTGCGACATATGAGGCCAAGCTTACAAAACTCGGCGTCCCACTTGAAGAGTTAGGGTTCAAGTGAGTAAAGGTTCTTAAATATTATTATTAATGTCAGTGCCTCTACGGCGCAATACGTAACGGTGTCGTGCAATTATAGTGGTGATTAAAAAAAATGAATAGGATAACTTGTTTCTGCTGAGAACTGGCAACACCATTAACCACGCTATGTTCAGATATATGTCTTGCCAAAAAATAATATTTTACATACGAGGTAGATACGATACTAGCCCATCCAAAGTGATGCACTCAAATTACGCCAATTGGTGTAATTAGATTGCAATTCTATTATAGACTACTCTCTCTTTCCGTATCACACTTTCTATATAATCCGTCACATTCACTTACATATGTCATAATGTAAACTGGAAAAATTTTTTCAACTTCAAATGATAAGTATATCGACCACAGACATTTTAAGTTGTACAAGTAACAAGTTAATTTATAAATCCAATCAAGTTTATGAGGGGCTAATTTGGAAGTCGTTGATTACGTTTACCGTGTATGTTCTCAAAATATACAAATGCTTTGTGCCTTATAATGTTGAATTATAATAATAAGTTTCAAGTCCAGTTTGACTTTTTTATTTTGTTCGATATTATTTGTGCAAAAGACCTTAAGTAATGAAGTACTAGCAAACAGTTAATACAATTATCTGTTATTATATTCACCCCATCTAGCAATGTTTTTCTTAACTTGAAGGAGCTCAAGTAAGGTATAGCATAAGGTAAGCTCAAGGTGTATTTAGCGACATCTATTAGCAAAATGACGTACTTATGTAAATTCGTTAGATCCTGACAGTGTCCGTGTAGTTTGTTATAACTCGCAACAGTTTTAAATAGTCTATCAGAGAATTAAAGTTATCATTAATTAATATTAATAGTGTTACTTAACTTTTTTAGTTTAAATTAAATAATTGAAGTAATTCCAATGTAATATCTGTGTATTAGGTTGGAATTATCTCAATGTGTGTGCAATTAATGTAGAAGCGACATCTACTGCGTAAATTTAAAATCACGATAGCTTACGTTCAGTTTGGTCTATGCGTGTTTTGCTAGATGGCGTTGCATCAAATTGGATTAGATATTAACTACTACTAATAAAATTAAGCCATAAAATCTTTTAGTCGCTTTCGGAGATATAATACAATGAAAAAGACATCATACTATTTAGCTTTTCGTAGATCATCTCAAAATTTCAGGTTTTCATATATCTATATAATGAAAATTATTAAAGTAATATTTCATAATTAATTTACTAAATTTGAAGTAAAAAGATCATACGTGTAAACTATAATAGTAATTCTTATTTGAGGTGTCATTAGATTCGTCTCAGTTGTGGGAATGACATGGAATACATTATTTCATTACTATGTCCGTGAAAAAAAATATTACCAACTAGTTATTAATTTAAAAAAGTCGTTTTTTTTGTTGCCCATTCGTGCAACAGCAGAGACTGTTGCGTGGCCCTACCACAATTATGAAATGTGACAGTGCAAGATATTTTAGTATTTATACAGATGATTGTTATAATATAAATGATTGTTATAAAATACAATGTTTTATAATATTTTAATTATGTTATCATCATCCTCCTGCCCTTATCCTACCCTAGATGGGGTCGGCACAACATGTGAATCATGTTGTAAGCGGTTTTGGCTATGTTTTTTTTTCCACGGGCCGCCTGACGTCAATCCTTCTTGGGCAACAAGCGCCCAGATCCGGAACTCTTATATACTAGCTGCTGCCCGCGTAACATTCAGACAGAAAGACAGATATACATAAAATATGTAAATAAATTATAGCCTTTGCGTTATTCTGATGTATAAGCTATATTATTGTAAAGTTTCATTAAAATCCATTCAGTAGTATTTGCGTGAAAGAGTAACAAACATCCATCCATACATACAAACTTTCGCCTTTATAATATTGGTAAGGAAGTAAGGATCAGTGTGTCACACAAATACTTGCTCCGTGTGGGAATCGAAACCACGAATCCCGACGCCGAAGCCAATAACTGATCAACGGCGCTATCGAGTCATCTATAATAATTAATTATGTTATAATAATTATAATACGTCATTTATATATTAAATATGTTACTAAAATTTATGTATATTGCTATTCACATCCGTAATTTTATGCATTTTCCAACAAAGCCTTGCTTTCCGGCCGAACAATGTGGCTCGAGCGCATAAAGACGCAGCTTAAATGGGTCAAGCTCCCCTGGTCAAGGACCCACCTTGTGACCCCAACACTTTTGACGATCGACCTTACGAGGCGGGGCTCCAATTTGATACTTCTCAGCAGCACACAACTTTTTTATTCCATGCACATGGAAGTTTAAACGACTTTAGTCACTCGCTAACTTTAATGACTCGTACACACCGATTGGCGTAGTGGGTAGTGAAGGTGCTTCTTGCGCCTGAGGGTGTGGGTTCGATCTCCACTACTGGAAAAATATTGTGTCATGAACATAGTGTTTTCAACCGACTTGAATAAAGGAGGTGGTTCTCAATTCGACTGGATTTTATTTATGTTTGTCACCTCAGAACTTTCGACGGATTGAACCAGTTATAATGATTATTTTTTTTAGAAATTTAGTTTTTTATAGTGCTAATCTCTGCACTTGAGATTAAACATTGTAACTTGAAGAAAAAGTGCGAAAAGAATGTCGCCGCTGCGGGAATCGAACCCACGTCTTCGTCATTCGCGGCCTGACGCTTTAGCCACTAAGCTAAACGGCTGATTGCCACACCGACGAAAATCTTAACGTCTTTTATCTACATTGTTTTAATTATTTTTTTTTTATTTGAAATCTGGTGCTTCCCATGTGGTCCCATATCAATTTCATTGGTTTTAGATCTTGGGCTCCGGAGGTACTTAGGCAACTCCTGAAAATCAATTATGAAATGAAAAAAATGGTTATTTGTTAATGAAAATGTACTTTTAAATATTGTGATGATATCATTGTTGCAGACCATTACGAGCGGTGGCAGTGGCCGGTATTTCTCCGGTATTGGGCCAAGGACCGGCTGGATTGGTAGCCGACGACAAGTTGTGATGCGGTACGACATGCGAATCCATCTCGTCATTCTATAAAGTCGTAACAATATTACGCAGTAGCTATTATCACGTCTGGATGTCGTTAATTTCGTAAAAAAACTGATTTAATCGGTCGGTAATTTTTGCAGATCGTTAATTTCATAAAAACTGTAATATACTTTTTTACTAGTTATTTACAGAAGGTGTTGTCCAATTGTTTAAAATTATGCGGTTCATTTACAGGGAACAAAACATTAATATTTATTTATATTCGTTGCTTTTTTTTTGTATTATAGCGCTTCATACGGAATTAATTATTTTTTGCACAACTAAAATTCATAACTGATCACACCGTTCAAATTGTGTTTAAATTTAAAACATTTTCTCATAAAATTGCCACACTGACTTACACCGTCGTAAACTTATCTTTGGTTATAATTTCATTTTAATTATATACTTTGGTTAAAAAGCAGTGACAGATATTATCCGGGCGGACGGGCAACACACGAGACTAAAGTCTTCAATCAATGTGTGTTGCCAGTGATGATGCCTACGGAACCGAGACGTGGTACTTCACTGCTGGCTGTATGATGGAAACTCAAAGTCGCTCAGAGAGCTATGGAGCGGGCTATGCTCGCTATTTCTCTGCGTGATAGAGTTCGTAACGAAGACATCCGCAGTAGAACCAAGGTAACCGACATAGCTCAGAGGATTAGCAAGCTGAAGTGGCGATGGGCCGGCCATATAGCTCGTAGAACCGATAACCGTTGGGGAAGAAATGTTCTCGAGTGGCAGCCTCGTACTGGCCATCGCAGTGTAGGACGACCCCCCACTAGATGGAGTGACGACCTGTGCAAATGTGCGGGAAGTCGATGGATGCAGGTGGCTCAGGATCGTACTTCGTGGCAGTCTATGGGGGAGGCCTATGTTCAGCAGTGGACTCAAACAGGCCGAAATGATGATGAGCAACCTGAGTTCGATCCCCGGTGCCGGCACCAATGAAATTGTTAATTTTAAGTGCTGAATTATCACGTGCTCAGCGGTGAAGGAAAATATCGTGAGGAAACCTGCGTATTTTCGAAATAATAACAGAAAAAATATTTCGACGATATGTGAGGTCCACCGATCCGCAGTGAGGCCGCGTGGTGGACTACGCCCTGATACCCTCTGTACAGAGGAGGCCTTTGACCAGCAGTGGACTGTTACCATATTTTACTTTGTTCATAATTTGATTTGGACCATTCCATTTGAAGATTAGAGATTTTTAATTAAAATTAGTTAAAAAGAGTGCTATCAAAATAATCTCATGTTTTTAGTTAATTACTTTGTACAAAACTAACAATTTATGCTATAATGTTTCATTGATAGCCGGTACCATAACAGCTGATAACTGTTGTTATATATTGTTATTATATTTCATTGATAACCGGTACAATAACAAAATGATAAACGGTACCATATCGGTCCCTGGGTGGTTTAGGTCAAGTTTGTTAGAAATAAAACAATGTATTGAAGCCAATAAGTGTATTACTACTAACTTTCACTTATATTTTATATACAAAACTATCATAAGGCAACAGTTCCGAATGAAAACATGAAATGTATTGCGATAATTAACATTTTAAAAATTAATAAATATATTTATATTATATATATATAACATCACTCTGTTAAAGTTAGCATAATTATTTGGGTAGCAGTTTTAAATTGATCATAATTTTATAATCTCTTTTACCGACGTATGACCATTAATTTACCATTTAATTTTTGTCAAGAAACAACCCATTTTCTTGACAAAAATTAAATAATGATTGATAAACTGTAAACAAAATATTACACGAAATCCTTAGCAATTCGTTGATATAACAATTGTCTAATAATAAATATGATTCTGCTCTGAGCGTTAAGCATAAAATACCGCGCAAGGATGTTGTTATAAATCATCAGTAGTTTGTATAGAACAACACAATTTAAACTATTGTAATTTTATAAATAGGAAAGGTTTGCATGAACGAGTGATTTATTTCTCTGATTAAACTTTAAAGAACCAAAGTGCAATGCGGCGCAGTCGGACGAGGAAAGTACGTAGGATTCATTGCTTGCAGAACTTTTTCATTGAGTTTGAAAAAGTATCGATGAAAACATCACTGGTGCTTGCATCAGCAATGTAACAATTGAGTTTCATAGGCTGCTTTAATTATATTAAATTTTATTTTACTTTTATTTATTAAATATCATATCCTTCGTTAGCACATCAAGATGTCATACAAAGAGAAAAAGTTCGTGCAAGAAATCAGAATGAGCACAATATGTTTCATTTAATAAATATTTTATACTTTACAATATACAATATTTTTATTATAATAATTTCGATTTGATGAACCCAAAAACAGTTCGTCCATGACAAAATATAGCAAATCCTAATAAAATTACTTATCTCTGAACGATAAGAAATTAAATAATGTATATTTCACATAATAAGGCGACGTGTCTATATTACGTATATAGAAGCAGAAAATATTTACACGAAGAAAATAGCATTAAATTACAGAGATACAAATGACATATCCAAGCTCAAAATACATATATAATAGTTAAGAACTTATACTATAGTTACTTGAATGGATAATTAATTTTAAAATACGTTTAACGGTAATTATCAAACTATGGTTTGGTAGGAAAATGGACCAAATTTAAATGAAAAATATATAGGTATAAAGTGCTCATAATTCGAGTGTTTTTTTAAGAATTTCGCATAAACAACAACAACAATTCAGACCGTAAAATGTCTTTGCTGTTAATGAGACCATGTTTTGTTCTAATTTCATTTTAAATTAAAATAGCGCGTTATTTAGAAATTTGCTTAGGGCATACGATACATAACATTTTAAAGGAATAAATTTGTAAAAGTGTTTTCCAAATGATACAATCTGTCCTGATCACAAATACAATATTAAGTATACATTATTTTCGTGACTAAGTTTCAGTAGAATATGCACAACCAAATTGATTCGCTCACAATGAGAGAACAAAATAGAATATACTTCATAAGATATTTAAAATTAATTTGACTTAAGTTTCAGGTGTGATATTTACGAATTGCTTTCCATTGTCCACTAAGAACTATTCCAAGGGCTTGTAATAAATTGTAATATTGTTTAAATACCTACTAAAATTCACGAAAGAAGCCAAACAAATATTTGATACTACAGATTGCACTTGATTATGAAAATAATTTTAACATTATAAACGAAGTCGAGAAATTATAATGATAGTGTCATGGAAATTATTTTTCGTTTAAACAATTGTTTTTAAATATTGTAAGAAATTTTTGAATATTGTAAGTGCTAACCAAAATAACATCATTCAATAAAACAAACAGTTAATTTAATAAAACCTACTTCAGATACACATTGGTACATAATTTCTGTCGTGGGCGTCGATTTATTTCCTAATATATTTTTTTTCGTTTAAAATAAATAAAATATACGTGTCAATAATTTAATTTCTCTTAGTTAATTATAATAATTTAATTTATCGAGCATAAATTCTAGAAGTGTGCGTAGGTACTTTTGCGATTTCTAACTAATCTTTAACTGTTCACAGTCTAAGCAGTTTTTTTTTTTTTAATTTTGCCTATTTTTCGTTACATAATATATAATTATAATAATCATTTAATTGCATTCAACATTTATATAGCTTTTATACTTGTCCTCCTAAAGTGAAACAGACTTATCAATGCCTTACGACAAATATAATAAGTCCCTTTAAATCATTGGTTTAGATTATATAATTTGTTTGGATAGTTTGTTTATTACTCTTAAATGTACAATTATTTTTACGTTTGCAAAAGAGGTATAATGTAAAGGTTCCATTAAAACGTACAAATAATTAAAAAGTACAAGCAAAGCAAAAAGCTTCGGGTAATACGATTATACTCATTAAAAAATCCTTAAGGTATACAGCGATTTATTTTTTTCATTTTATTTCCTTATTCAACCAATTCAAAGTCATCAAAAAAGAACTCGCAATATTCGAACACCTTAGAAACCTCCAAAATGGAACACCTGTAAAATTCATCGCGTAAAATTATTACACATATTTTCTTCACAGTTTAATATTACAATGGTTTGCTTTTCCCCCGCCCGAATATTATTCTAGTATACGCAATATTCACAAGCCTTTTACATGTTACGAATGAGATTAGCAAATAGCTCTCTAATACAACCATACAGTAAGTGTGTCGTTAAAAGCGGTAATATATTTATTTATCATCACAAAAAATATCTCGACTTTATCGCCAGTTATAATTTAAGTTTTCATCGTATTTTGTATGTCAAAATGGAACGGAATCAAAACGGAAATCGTCACTACAAAAAACGGTAAAAACCAGTAACTTACATTATTAATAATAAACACAATATTGTAGCTGTAGATAATCAAAACGATGACGTAAGATCGGATTTACATATCGATATTAGAACTAAGCAAATTTTAAACGTATAGGTTGTGAAATTAACATCAGTCGATACCAATAGTTTGTTTCGGAAAGATCTAAACGAAAACGATTTCTATTTCGGTGAGCGGCTAGTGTTGTCGGTTCGGATCGCTATGGACATTGAGTATCGATGAATTTTTAACAAACAGTTAGGCATGGGACGGAAGAATCGATACTGACTACGACGGTATTACATATATCATACGACCGGGACGATAATTGTTTATCGATATAATTCCAATTCGGGCTTAATTTATAATCGCTCAGCCTTATTGGGATCAACATTTAGGGAACATCCTTTTCTTTTGGGCGGGTTGTAGCCTCCTTATAGACAAAGATCGGCCCTCGATCACACTGGGACGTGGTGATTCATTAAAAACTATTTTAACCTGGACTTTAATAGTGCTGTTCCAAATAAAATTAGTCAGAAGCGTTGACGTTAACTTTACAATTTAACTGCTTTTTTCTTTTTCATTTAACACACGAACATGATCTCTTTTAGTCTTCGCCCCCATAAGTATAAATTGAATGATATATTATCAGTGATACACTTAATTCGTTCATTGCTCCAATTCGGCGGTTCGTTGACGATGACGTCGATCTCACCGCGTCATCACGAATCGTTCCAACAACAAAATGTTTCGCTTTCAACCCTCATCAGCTGCAATGCATATTCTATAATGATTAAATATTTTCAGCTCGCGTGCACTCACACCGAAACGACAGCGACTCGAGCGTGCCTTAACGTTACAATTTCATTTATAAGAGATTTAAAAATATTTTTTTTTGCCTTATCTAAAAACGGTACAAATCATTTTTCGTGACAACATTCTCTATTGCAAACGCCGATTCCTCTTCATCGTTTTACATTGAGCAAAAGTTTACAAAATCAAATATATGGTACGACACGATACATTTCAAAATGACACAATCCATGTAACACATTACTCTGTCAAATTTGTAAAGCTCACGGCTCCCTTACAATAAATGTAACGACGATTCGTAATAGAAAACATGGATCACGGAAAATTTTTCTCTAGCGAAATACATAATATGTACGCTTTTATATATATTATTGTTGAAATTTCACAACGCTTTATAAAAAACTCTTTCGCACGTAGCCTCAACGCCGGCTCTTTCGGGCGGAGGGATCTATTCTAGTGTCACGACCGTTTCGTAAGGGAAAGCCGTGTGATTACTCCCCAAGTGTCCATTCCTCATAGTCCGTGGTGCACTTCACATGCCCAGCCGTTACGAAAGCCGCATCTTCAGGAGCGCTGTCATCTGGAAAGAGACGAACAAATGCATTAATGCATACTCTGATTGGTTGTCCTTTCGACAGAGTTAATAACTTGACTCGCCGATTTCTTTGCGATAAGGGTCTCTTAAGGAGGGCTTCCTTATGCGTTCAAGGCAATAGTAGAGCATCTGAAATTTTGAAAAGTTGATATTAAGAATAATAAACTTAGAAAAGTTTGATATTGTTTAATTAAAATAGTAAGTTGATTTTCCTTCAGAATTTTTAAAAATGTTTTTTTTATTTGTTGTATATACACATGTTGCTCTCTTTCTTTCCCTCTTTTTAATATTAATTATTGTCAGGTTTTAAAACCTAGAAAAGCTAAAAATAAAAGGTGCAGTGCAATTGTCCCCGTGCTTGGAACAATTTTCGAAGAAGTTTTGCACGTCACGTTGCGTTTTTTTTTTGTGTTAAAGCATAAAATCAATATCAACGTACCTACATGCTTCAGCAAGCGTTGATAAATGTCGGTCGGATAACGTCGAAGCGAATGAGTGTTGTGTATTTTTGAATGTGCATTTCGTGTCGACATGATGCACTACGTTATGGCCCATAAGCGTATGGAGTTAAAGCTGTAGGCTTCATTGCGGACGTACCTCTGTGTGGTATGTGTCATTAGGCGTTCACGAATGATGACTTGGTCCTGTCGACACAATGCTTGCATGAGACTCGTTCGTCTTAATGATTTAAAGGACGTAGAACTAAACGTAAATCTGTCAGCGATCAAACTGCCACTAAATCGTATCTGTCCGTCGCTTTTCAGCTCTAATATTGCTTTGTGATCAACTAGTATGTAAGTAAATATAAAGTTCCTTTAGTCACCAGTAACGTACCCAAAGATTCCAAGATTCTATGGGTTATGTTTGTTAAGACAATACACTGAAAAATGGTTAAACTAAGCCTAATCGAGCACAGTATAGTTTTAATATTTCAATATATCTGATACTACAATCTATTCCTCCACAAAAGTCAGCAGCAGAAGAAAAGTTCATAATATCAATCCTACCTGATTTTTATAATTTACTACACTGTAAAAAAACATATACAATAAGAAGAGAAGAAAATCTTGTTTGAACAATATATAACAAACCGGACAGTTGACAAAAATATATTAGTGAGATACGAATGTTAACTTTAATTAAAATTATTGTGATCAATATACTCATTAACTCCATCGTTACCATTTTGATGTCATTAAATTCATTCACTCGTTTGATTTAAATATTAATCTGTGGTAAAATCTATGCGACATTTTGATGTGACTGTACTTTAGATTACAATGTAAGCTGTCTTTTGCCGAACAATATTTTAGGACTCTAAAAGAAAGTGGGACAAAGGATCTAGACAGACTAGATCTGTCAAGGGGCCGCAGTGAGTAATGACCTGGGCATTTTCGCAGGACGGGGGAAAGCATTCATCTATTTCACTGTATCCGCTTACAATATCAGCAGCTTAGACAAATTGTACTGCCTCGAATCGATCGTTACTCATTCGCATATTTTTGTATACTTTAAATTTTTTTTTAATGTGAAAAGTTGCCAAACCAGCAGACGGCTTACCTGATGGTAAGTGAATACCGCCGCCCATGGACATCCGCCACACCCGAGGGTTACAGATGCGTTGACAACCTTTTGAAAATTGGGCTCCGGCTACCTCACTCACCAGACGAAACCCGAAAGTATTTGTCATACTTCCACTTTACACTGGTCTTCTGTGAGGTCGTGGTACTTACCCGGACGGGCCTGCCCATTCGTGAAACAGCCGAGGCTGCTGCGTGGCCCTACCACCGTAAGCCGGTATTAACTATTCCTACTTTTCTTACACTTCACTTTACATATTCCTACTTTTTATAGTCTTTCCATGAATGAGATGCAACATGTTTTGCCAAGGAATTTGCGATTTTCTTGGAACCATCGTTAATTCCATTTTATACTTAATGATGTATTTAAATTATAATGCCCATCTCATAAAGACGAGTAAATATGGTAACTATGTCAATAGAACAGAATAAATTGTTGACGGATGAGCACATAGGCTTTTGGTATTTGGCAGTGTTCTTCATATCGTTGCAAATAATCCTTATGCAATATTGTAGAGTTTAGAGAAAATTTTAGGACGCAATTTTTAATATACTGACCATAGCATCCTATTTGACTCAAGATTTCTTTGGATTTTGTTTATTTTTACACACTGAGGCACATGAGATAACTGGCGGAGATAAATTTGTCAATTCATAAATTTTAGTTTTCACTTCAGGTGTAAGGATAAAAAGGTCTAAGGATTTATAAGGGTCTATAAGGTTCTATAAGATACTTTAAAGGTACGTTAATGTTACTCACCCGGACAGCGAAGCGGAATTGGAGATCGGAGGGCTGTTCGACTCGAAGCCATCCTTTGGCTTCTCGTTGGCCAGCTGCATCTTCAGCTGGTGGCCGAAGCAGGCCAGGTCCTCCCTGAAGGTGTCAGAGCCGGGCGTGGTGGGCTTTCCGTCGTCACCTGTTGCCATCCCCTCCACGTCGCTCTGCAGTGGCGCCTGCTCCGACTCCTCCTCGGTGTTGTAGATCTTAAAGTACGCAAACGTCAAGTATATCACAGAGATTATGAAGGATGGTATCGGTATCGCCATCGCGTAGACGAGGTTCAGCGTGTTCTGCCACATGTCCAGGTCGGTGATCACGAGGCCGGGGTCCACGCGGCTGTAGTAGCACGTGTAGTTGTTGCCCAGGGGCTTGTACTTGCCGTAAAATATCGTGCAGTTGAGTATCGGCGGGTAGCCGCAGCCCTTCACGTTCGGGAACAACCGTGCCCCGGTGAAGTACCACTCCGAGTCGTTGCCCTGCAGGCCCGTGGGTACAGCGTCCGGGAGCTCCTGGTCGTCCATCTCCGGGTAGTTCTTGTCCAGGGGCGCCTCGTAGTTGCTCTCGTAATCGTAGTCCTTGCGCAGCGACCTCTCGGCCCGTATCAGGGCCTCGAACTCCGTGGAGGTCACGTTGGGGTACTCCCCCAGCTTGTAGTTGACGCGTATCTGCGTGCACTCGTACAGGTCTTTCGTGCAGCCCTCCCTGCACGAGGCCCAAGTGCAGTTGCTGGCACCCACCAAGTGCTTAACCTGGGCGGTCACGCACAACGCTCCGACGGGATCGAACTGCATGAATATCGTGGTGAATGCCGGCTCGATCACGAACGGAACTAGGAAGAGGAACGCGAACAGGCTGAATGTGGCGAGAAGGACGAAGGTAGCCGTCGTGTAGAACAGAAGTTTCTCGAGAAATGTGGGGGGTATCGGTAGCTTTTCCTCTTCGGCCATTTTGGCGTGGGCGCGCTATAAGCGACCATATCGCTCGTTTCAGCTCGGCGCTGTCATCGCATGCGAATAGTTCTCAGTCTTTCAACGGTCGACAGTAGCTCGGCAGCTCGATAGTTTGTCAACGGGACCAATTATTTACATCTTTGCCTGACGCCTTTCTGGTTTAGCGCGTACTTGTTAAGTAGCTGACTGGAAATGTTAGTTGTTCAGTTATTTTTGCTTCGTTCGTTAGCTAATTATAAAATAGTAGAGATCAAAATACAGTAATAAAGACAAAGACCTTACGGTTTTTACCTCTAATTGTAAAGGTAGGGTAAACATAGAGGTAAACGGTATCTAAGGCTTTTTGAACCCTATAAAGTTTGATCGACTTCCTTAGGTTAGCTGGAAATTCTTGTTCTAATAAATTTATTAATAACGTTTCAAAAAATATAAAAAAAAGCCATAACATTCTATTATCAGTTCCTGCTCAAGATTTGACCGGTAAGTGTTCTTTATTTTGTCCGGTAATTTCCTTAATGTATTGGGAATTAAAGAATAGCGTGAATAGAAATATTTACACTTTTCACTTTGGCTATAAGCTGAATACTTGCATCCTCAGTAGGCAAGGTGCCTGCAACACTTTAAGGTAATTAATGTTTTATTTGGCGGCGGTCGTCAATTACAATAAGTGCTTGTACAGAGCTGTGAGAGCTCAGTGTCCGGGCGCTTGCCTTTAATTCAATATATACTTAGCAACCTGTGTTCGATCCCCGGTGTTGGCACCAATGAAATTGTTAATTTTAAGCGCTGGCTTTGATATTTTTACACGATTTCTACAACACAAGTAGAGTTAGAGAGGATGAAAAAACAAAAAAAAATGTTTCAAAATACGAGTTGTACATTGTACGTTTGCTTTTACCCTTTACTTCTATTTTTGGAGTCGAATAAAAAAAGTATGTATTATTATATTCAAAATATATGTATGTATTACCGAAATAAGTAGAGTGGTAATGCCTACAGAGTAAATAAGTTTAACTAATTATCAATCAGAGCCGCGATAGCTCAGTGTCCGGGCGCTCGCCTTTAATTCAGTTTACTTGAGCAACCTGAGTTCTAATCCCGGTGTCGGCGCCAATAAAATTGTCAATTTTAAGTGCTGACTTATCACGTGCTCAGCCGTGAAGGAAAATATCGTGAGGAAACCTGCATATTTTCGTAATAATAACAAAAAAAATATTTAGAATATAATATGTGAAGTCCGACAAGCCGCCGGGGCCGCGTGGTGAACTATGCCCAAATATTGTCTGTATAGAGAAGGACTGTCCATTAGTGACACATATATAGGATGTTACTTAACTGTTAATGTAGTCTTAAACATTATGTAAGGTAGAACGCACTCGTATTGTTTCAAAAACGATCTTTAAATTTCCAATCATATCACCATTGAGTAAATAACGATATTTTTCGCTCATAAAATATTGGGATTTTATTTATTTATTGACTCATCTCGGTTATAGACTGCCATCATGATGAAATTACAATAAATTTTGTAATATCATAGGACTAGTAATAAATACATTCGGTCTACCCTGATCGAATGTGTTTACTACTACTCTGTCAGGACGCTTACATAACCAGGCGGTTACCCTGCGCCTCACAAACTTAATTAGCGTTATACAAATAGAAATAATCCCGTGTTACGACACGCTGGGACATAAATAAAGATTCAAATCGCGGATCCCCGTGACAAGGTCGGGCACGTTGCATAAGCGGGCGGTTTGTGACGCAAATCGATCGACGGAGGTTGTATTCCGGGCCTAGGCAGACAGGCTGGCGTCTGCGTTATATCAGGTCCGCCGGGGAACGTCGGCTATGTATCCGTCCAGCGTAATACAGTTGGAAATTTTAATTCCAATATCTGTATTCAACATAGAATCTACATCTGAGTACAACTATGTGACGTGCGTATAATGTATGCAATAACGGATGGATTTTCGTTTCTTTTTTTTGGGTTCCATACCCTAAGGGTAATACGAACCCTAGTACGAAGACTCCGCTGTCTGTGTGTCTGTCCGTCTGTCAATAGGCTGTATATCATTAACCGTGATAGTTAGACAATTGAAATTTTCACAGTTGATGTATTTCTATTGCGGCTATAACAAAAAGTACTAAAAAAAAACAACAAAAATATATAAATGGGGCGGGCTACTATACAACAGAGATGAATTTTTGCCGTTTTTATAGATAACTAGGTATTAACCGCGGCTTCGCCCGCGCGGTCAAAGGTAATTAACAATGAGTTTTTTATTATACACCAGAATATCTCGCAGATGGCTGAATTATTTCTTATTTAGTTGACACTTATCATTACCTATATTTGGACATTCTATGTGTTATTCTGATGTATAAGCTACATTATTGTAGTTCATTAAAACCTATTCAGTAGTATTTGCACAAAAGAGTAACAAACATCCATCTATATACACAAAAACTTTCGCGTTTATAATATTAGTAAGGATAGTAAGGATGGTAGGGAACGCTTCGTGCGCGAGTCCGACTCGCACTTGACCGGTTTTTCTATACAGCTTTCACTGGGCTTAGCTTTACACAAATAAATAAGTGCGAAACAGTCGACTCCTTTACAACTTCTATTATTTTAAGAGGCGATTGCGTTTAATTCAACATCCCAGCACTTACGCTGTCACTGCTTCGAAGTTTCATCGCATTTTCCATTGGTATCATAGGCGTATATAGCAGGGGGGCCGTAAGGGCCATGCCCACCCCAGTATCATCTAATGCCCAGCCCAGGATTTTGGGTTACTGATTCGAAACTAGGTTGGATACCGAAGAAACTTCATAAAAATCATTGAAAACAATTAGCTATCTGTAGCCGATAATTCTATGTACATACTTAGTTTTTATTACAATTACGTTTTTATTACGTACTAATTAGTAAATATACTTAATAAAAAAACACATAAATAGACACGACAAAAACATAACTTAGAACTACCTAAAATCAGGACTTTGTATGGAAAAAGAAATATACAGTTTGAAGGAGCTCAGCTATATAATAAGTTACCACCCCATGTCAAAAATTGTTCCTCTTTAACGAGTTTCAAAAAAAAATTAAAAATATTTTTAATGGAAAGTTAAGCAATAACTCCGATTATCCACACTTTTTAAATTGTTATTTAACATGTACTATGTAAAATTTTCTCATAGTTAAGTGATTATTGTAATATTCTTTTTGAGAAATAAATATTACTTTGAACCTAAATACTACTATTATATATTAACAATAACGAACTGTGACTTTTTAACGCGACGCATAGTGTTCGATTTTTTTGTAATAAAGGCCCAGGCCCACCCTGAAAAATAATTCTAGATACGCCAATTGGTATAGCCTCATAGCTTTCTCAAGTTTTTTGTCGAGGGACATTAACTTTCTAAAATATACAACACACTTTACTGATCGATCATAGGAATGGAAAATTAATGATATCATTAAACTCGAAAATGAGCGAAACCACGCAATGAAACGAAATAAAACAATGGCTGGAAAATAGCTGCTAAAAGAAAAAAATGAGCATAATGGCTTTATATATCTGTACAAGATTAATGCATAATACGCCACTATTGAGGTCAACATGAAGAACATGTTAGCTAGGATTAGAGGTGGATATGCTATACAAAGAAAATAATTTTACAACCATCACTATATAAACTATTACTATATTCATTACATGACATATTTACATAGTTACATTTTGCATGACGATTGAAGAATATTGTTCAATTCATTATAAAAAAACTGTAAACAATTTTAATACAACTTAATATTATAAAGTTCTATAAAAAATCTTTTCAGTTATGTTAATCAAGACATCGGTGTATCTATATAATATATATATAGATCCGGGGGAGGGTAGCTAGTATCTCTATATTTTGACCTCCAGAATCAATATTGATCAATACCAATTCACTGAACATCTCTTGTGAACGTACAAGTAAATTGTTGAAATTTCATATATGTATGTCGAAATTCTAAGTGAAATACTTTTGTTTTATTATATTTACTAGCGACCCACCCCGGCTTCGCACGGGTGCAATGTATTATACACATAAACCTTGCTCTTGAATTACTCTATCTAGTAAAAAAACCGCATCAAGATCCGTTGCGTAGTTTTAAATATCTAAGCATACATACGTACAGACAGACAGCGAGACGACTTCATTATATACTATGTAGTGAAGAGAATATTTTATTAAAATATTCCATCGTAGCAATATTAACCACAATAAATAAACATTCAGTGCGACACTCGGAACAATGTCATCGGAGGCGGCGCATCAAGTCTCGTGGAATAAGCTGAGCCTACCTTTTGAAATCGCTTCACTTTGACTTTGGTGCTGTTACGGACTTTTGTACTGCCGACATTTGCCTCTGCCACCGTAACAGTCGCCTTTTGTTTTGAAGCGATAGTACTCAGCGAAATGCAATTAACTACTATGATTTTTTGACGAATAATGTGATCATGGAGTTTTCTGATTCCGATGATGTAAGTAATCAAAAAATATGACGGATTATCCTCTATCATAAATAAAAAAAAGAATGACTAAATTTTTTTTATGCGATAAAGTTGCAAGAGAGCTGGCGGTTCACATGATTTTTATTGATAACTGCTGCGGAAATGGGTTTATTTCGATAAAAGTGGACTGTATATGCGGGATTAGTTAGGATTTAATTGGCAACCGGCAGACGAATCATGGAGCGCGCGCTGACCTGGAGGCTTCCAGCGACGAATCTTCTGTCGGCTTCAGTCAACGAGGCACTCGGATTATAAGTCATGCACAGTTACACAGATTTACACATTCACGGCCGTGATTTATAAAGTTAATAATTTAAAATAGAAGAAGCGTTGATGCGGTGTTAAAGGCGAGCGGTTACACTATGTAATTGTCCATCGTGCGTGCGATTTGAACGGCGACAGTGCCGGTTTCACACAAATGAGTGA